TGGGGGGCCGATGTCCGATATTCAGTTTTAAGGCCGATACCGATAGGGGGCCGATTATATCGTGCATTCCTAGATTTTACCCAATCACATTACCCAAAATACTTAAGTATGATCACAACTGTCAAAAGTCTAAAGGCTGATTTTATACTTGGAAACCAGGCCGTCTGCGTGTGTCGCATTGAACGCAGAACGCGTTTCCATGACGCTAACCTCACTGTTTGTTTTCCAGACCAGCGGCTCAGAGACTACATTTCCCATGGAGCCTTGCACTCTGCTGCTCTCTACTGTTCCATGGAGCCTCCAGTCAGGTATGAAAACACGCCCTGTTCCCTGATTAACCCCCCCTCTGCTGTATGAGGAGGTTAACCTTTGACCCCTGAGCCCTGCAGGCTCTGATTGGAGGATGGGAGCTGTCATTTGGTTTGATTAATGTCTGCAGTGGAGGAGAACAGGAAGAGCTGTGATTGGAGGCGGCCTGAGGGCCTGGAGGCTCTGAAGCTGCTCTGACTGCAGCTGTGACGGTTCTAGCTGGTTTCTAAACTGCAACTAAAGATTATTTAGCTAATTAATTAATCTGTTGATTATATATTTTCGATTAACCCTTTATAGGGCGCTCAGTGAAATACTTTGAAAGTCTAAATTTCCAGCCAATAGTGTTACTGGAATCCAGGACAAGACCTTATTACCTTTGGAACATTCAAAACATCTGGATATTTTGATGGAAAAAATGTATTTCAATGTAATAACAAGAAACGCAGATTTAACCGAATATATTAAGAAAAATAACAAAAGTGCTTCTAGGAGAAGTTCATGAAAAACACTCAGAGTGAAAGAAACACATTTTATTTGGTCCAACATAACCTTAGAGGCATTAATGCTGATACTGGTACTTCACCTTTTTTTAGTTTATAAACCTAAATATAACTGTTAACAAGGATTATTAACTTTTTAACTTTTAAATGAGCTTTTTACCTTTTAATTGACTTCTTAACATTTTCTTGAACTTAATTTTCAGTAGGTAATGTATCATCCAAGGTCTCATCTAATTGGTCAAATGCCTAAATAAGATGTCCAGCCATGTAGGAGGGTCTATGCGAAATGGCTGGATATAGAGCTTGTTCTGTGATGTCACTACCTGATCCGTCCTGCACATCCAGATTTATTTTGTTAAAAAGACATAAATTACATTTTTCCCTCCCTAGAAACGGTAAAGGCTCTTTATCCTCCTGAAGCAGTGTGTCGCAGTGAGCTTGACGCAGACATTTTTAAATTAATGCTCAAATTTGAGCGCGGTCTGCGCTATAAGCTGTGGGTCTAGATACGGCCGAGGCGATGAGGAAGTGAGGACGAGTTTAGTCCGACATTGGAGGGACATGAAGGCGAAAAATAGCGGAGATCCAGGTGGAAAAAGGGTCCCAGCGTTCTCGTGCACCTCGCTCTTCTAGTGGGTCAAACTTCACGAGTTGTTTTCCGCAATTTCGATCATAAAAACAAAACAAGCCGGCCTCCTGTCTGCGGTCAGCTACAATTTAGGAGAGGAGCAGCGGAGCGTCTGTGGAGGGGGCGGGACGTCTATTTGTTCACTGCGACACCTGCACACACGACCTACTTTTGAAGTATAAATCAGTCTTAAGCGTACTAAACTATAATGTGTTAAAGGTTAATAATGTATTTCCTGAGAAAATAAATTCCTTGAAATCCTGTTTTATCGTCTGTTCCTGATCTGGACAGGAAATGGGATGCTATGCTACTTCCAGGAGCTAACTTTATCAGCTTTGATTTAAACATCAATCTAGTCTTTTTGAGTTTAATGTTTTCCTCTCATGTTAACATTATGCTATATAGCGCGTAATCTAAAGAAAGAAGCAACTAAATGCAGATAAACACGGTTTAATCAGATTTACTGCTCTGAGCGTGTCCCATGATGACGTCAGAGACTCTGTTTAACGGAGAAAATGGAAAAAGCTGCAAAATGTCTCAGAAAAGTCATAAAACATGTTTTAAAGATGAGTTTTGGCTTTATTTAGCAAGTTAAGGATAGAAATAAGTTATTTTAGTTCCATACTGATATTATTTATGGAAACCTGGATATATCGCCATGGCAGGACGGATCAGTGGAGGGGCGGGTATGAAAGGATCAAAACTGGTAAATTGCCGTATAAAGCGTTAATAATCGGACAGCAAAATTTCCCTTAAGAAGAGTTTTTACAGAATTGAAACGATGGGAAACTAAAACTTTCCACTTAAGTGCTTCTGATATCAGCATATCGTCAGATTAAATGACTTTTTTTATCTTAGATGCAAAATGTTTGGATGTATTTTTGTATAATTTCTGCTTAAAGTGGGTCTCTATTCTCCAGTTAACAATGAATCGATTACTCAAATCAAATGTCTTTGTATAGCCCTTTAAAATAGCCAAATGGTACCCAAAGTGCTTCACAACAAAGCCATAAAAACAATACATAACACATAAAAAAACATACAATTAAAAGTGCTGCAGGACATTAAAAGCCTTCCAGAGGTGCATAGAAAGGAGCACACAGAAAGATGACATCTAAGTGAGAGTATTATAGCCAGAATTAAAAGCTAATTTAAAAAGTAGGTTTTAAGCTTTTTTTAAAAAGGCTGAGGTCAGTAGTGGTGCGGATGTCAGGGGGGGGTTTGTTCCACAGTCTGGGAGCAGCGACGGCAAAAGAACCATCGCCTTGACCTAGGGCCTCTAGCAGAAGCTGACCCGAGGAGCGTAAAGCTCTGCCACAATGGCGAAAAGTTAAAATCTCAGACAAGTAAGAGAGGGCAAAGCCATGGATGGCGTTAAAAACAAACAGCAGAAGTTTAAAATCGATTCTAAAACGGACTGGAAGCCAGTGGAGTGACGACAGCACAGGAGTAATGTGTTCACGTCTGGATGCGTTTGTTAAAAATCGGACGGCAGCATTCTGCACAAGTTGGAGACGAGAAATGGATGACTGACTGAGGCCAACGTAAAGGGCATTGCAGTAGTCC